CCACAAAAACCAAAAAAACACCACACACCCAAAAACACACCCCCCACACACACCACCCACCACACCACACACACACACACCCACACCCCCACACACAACCACACACACACACACCCACACACCCCAACACACCCCCCACACACCCCACCACACACACACCACAAAACCACACACACACCCACACCACCCACCCCACACACACCACACACACACCACAAACAAACACCACACACACACCCACACACACACCACCCCCAAAACACACCACCCCCCACCACACACCCCACCACAAAACACCCACACCACCCCACACAACACACCCCCACACACACCCCCACACCCCACACACCCCACACACCCACACCCACCACTTTCACACCACACACCCCACACACACCCACACAACACCACACACCCCAAAAACCCCACCAAAACCCCTCAAAAACCCCACAAAAAACCCCCACACCACACAACCCAAAAACACCCCACCCCAAAAACCCCCAAAAACCCACACACACACACCACACACACACACCCACACACCCCACACCACACACCCACACACACACACACCACACACAACAACCACACACCCACACCACACACACACCCCACACACACCACACCCCAAAACCACACCCCACACCACACACCCCACCACACAACACCCCCCCACACAACCCCCAAAAACCACACACACCCACCACCCCCCACACACCACAACACACACACCACACACACACACCACACACACACCACACACCCCACCACCCCACACACACACCCCCCACCACACCCCACACACACACACACACACCCCCACCCCCCACACAAAAACCCACACACCAAACACAAAACCCCCACACACACACCCCCACACACAACCACACCCCCCCCACAACCACAACACCCCACACACACACCACACACCAACCACACTCACCACACACACACCCACACCCCCACCCCCACACACAAACCACCCCACCAAACCCACACAAACCCCCCACACACACCAAACACACACACCCCACACACAACACCACCCCTCCCAACACACAAAAAACCCCCACACAACAAACACAAACACACACACCACACAACACCCCAAACACAAAACACAAAAACCCCACCCAAAACAAAAAACCATCCCCCCACACCCCCCCACACACCACACATCACACACCACACACCACCAAAAAACACCCCACCCCACAAAACACCCACAAAACACACCAACACAAAACCACCACAACATACCCCACCAACACACACACACCACACACACACCCACACACCCCCCAAAACACACACCACACCCCAAACCACACACACCCCACCCCACCACCCAACACCCCCACACACCCCAAACCCCACACCTCCCCAACCACACACCACCCCAAAAACCACAAACCCACACACAAACCACAACACACCCACACACAAAAACCACCCCAAACACAACACACACCCCCAACAAAAACAAAATACAACCACCCACACCACCCCACACCACCGCACCCACCCCACACACCCACCCACCCCCCCACACACACCACACACAACCCCACACACAACCACACACCCCCTTCCCCAAAACCACACAACCCCACACACAACCACAACCCCACCAAAATAACACACAAAACACACACACACCCCACACACACCCCACACACACACAAAACACACACCACACACACCACACACACCCCACACAACCAACACACACCACACCCCACCAAAACCCCACAACACCACACCACAACACACACCAAACACACACCCCACAACAACCCCCACACACCACACACACACACCCACACACACCTTCAACCCCTCAACACACACCCCAAAACCCCACACCCCCCACAACACACAACAAACCCCAAACACACACCCCAACCACACACCACACACACACCAAAAACACCCCACCAAAACCACACACCCCAAAACACCCCACACCACACACACCACACCACACACACAACACCACACACACCACACCCACACCCCCACCACACCACACACACCAAAACCACACCAAAACCACCCCAACCCCACACACACAAAACACACCACCACACACAAAACCCCTTAACACACCACACAAAAACCACACACACAACCCCACACACACTAACAAAACCCCACATCACACCCACCAAAACCTTCACACACACACACACACACACACACACCCCCACACACCCCCCACACACACCCAAACAACCCCACACACAAACCACACACACCACACACACCCCACACACCACCACAACCACACACCCCAAACACCCACAAAAACCACCCCCCAAAACCCCACCCCACACACCCCACACCACACACACCCCCCAAACCACCACACACAGCCCCACCCCACACACCCCACACCCCCTCACCCCCCAACCCCCACCCCCACACCAAAACCACACACAACCACCCCAAAACCCCACAACACCACACCACACACACACACCCAACCCACACACACAAAACCCCCAAAACACACCCACACACACACACACACACACACACCAAAACCACACCACAACACACACACCCCCACAAACCCACCCCAAAAACCCCAAAACACAACCCCAACACACCCCACACACACAAAAACCCCAAAACACACACACCCCACACACACCACACCACACCACCACCACCCCACACAACCCCACACCCACACACCAAACACCACCCACCCCACCCCACACCCCCCAAACACAAAACCCCACACAACACACACACACACACACACCACAACACCACACAAACACCCACCACCCCAAAACCAACCCCACACCCCACACACAACACCGGCCACCACAAAACCCACACACACACACCCCCCCACACACACCACACAACCACCCCCACACACCACACACACACACACACACACACAAAAAACCCAACACACACACACACACCCACAAAACCACACCACACACCAACCACACAAAACCCCAAAACACACAACAAAAACCCCCACACACACCACACACACACACACACACAACAAAAAAACACACCACCACACACACACCCCACACACACACAACACCACACACAACACCAACACACACACCACACACACACCACACACACACCACACACACACACACCCACACCAAACAACACCACCACACCACCCCACACACACAGCACCACACACACACAACCACACACACCACACACAACCCACACACACACCACACACATCACCCCCAAAAAACACCAAACACAGCACCCACACACACACCCCTCACCACCACCCACCCCAAACACAAACCCCACCACCCCACGCACACCACACACCACACACACCACCACACACCACACACATAACACACACCCCACAACACACGCCCCAACACACCCCAACACACAGCCCAACACCCCACACAACACACACACACCACACACCACCCCACACCCCAACAACCCCACACACAAAACCACACCAAAAACACCCCCACAAAACACCCCAACACACAAAACCACACACAAAACCACACACACAACCACACACACACACCACACACACCCCCACACACCACACACACCCCCACACCCCACCCCCCACACCCCACACACCCCCACACACACCCAAACACCCCAAAACCAACACACACACCACACAACACCACACAACCACCCCCACACACACACCCCACACCACACACCACACACACACCCACACACCACACAAAACAACCACGCCACAAACACACACCTCACCCCACACACACCCACCCCCACACACACACCACACACACACACCACCACACACAAAACACACCACAAACCCCCAACACCACACACACACACCACAAAACCCCCACCACCCCAACAAACCCAAAACCACAAAACAAAAACCACACACCCCCACACCCACTACACACCACACACACCCCACCAAAACCACACCCCACACACCACCCCCACAAAACCCCACACAACACCACACCCCACCACACAACCACAACACCCCCACAACCCCTACCAACACACAAAACACACCACACACCCCAACACACACCACACACACACAAAACACCCACACACAACCACACACACACACCCCCACACCCACACCCACACTCACACCCACACACAAAACCCACACACACACCACACACACAACCACACACCCCACACACACACACCCCCACACACCCCACAAAACCACACACCCCACACCAAAAAACCACACAAAAACCCCCCACACACCCCACAGAACCCCCAACACACACACAAAAACCACACACACAACACCACAACACACACCACCCCACACACACACACCACCCCAACACCACACACCACACAAAACCACACAAAACCCCCACACACCACCCCCAAACACCCACACACGCACACACCAGGGGGCCACGCACACCACACCACACACACCACCCACACACACCACACACACAAAACACACACACACACACACACACACACCCCCGCGCGGGGGCGGCATGTACAACACCCTATGTCAAATCGACAGGGCCTGGGCCCAAAATGGAAACAAACAAGCACACACAGAAACAAACACACACATCCCCCAATGCATTTTATACACACAGACACCCACACACACACTAATAAATTCAAATAGTGAAAAAATAAGGGGGATGGGCTTGGGGACTTTTGCGTGTTTGAGCGAAGTGTGTGGGGCGCAAGGGGTTTTTATTATTATTTTTAAAGATTTTTTTTTGCCATTTCCAATGTTTAAGACTTGTATCATACCTTAAAAGTTTGCTTAGGAATTTGACTTGATATTTTGACTAGCATTAGACAAATTGTTTCCAGTTAAGTTGTGAGAGAGAGACACAAGATGAAAAGAAATGAATGTAAAATAAAAAAAAAAATAGAAATTACAGTAGTTGTTGCTCAGTTAACTATCATTTAAAAGAAGAACTTGTTAAATGGGAATTGTGTTTGTGTGTTCACTGGTTAACCTGAAAATGTTATTTTACCAGACCACACCCAAAAGGCGACCAAACAGTGATGCCAGCAGTGTAGGGGGAAGTGGAAGCGCTAAACGTATCAAGACAGAGTCAGTCAGACTTAAAGACTCTTCACTCACATCATCTCCCAGTCACAATTCCAAGGCTCGTGTGTCAGCCCTTCTGAACAGACCAGTTCACATTGAAAGACCAGTAAGTATTTTTAATGCAGTTCTTTTCCTTGCTGAAGCTATCTCTTAAACCTCATGCTGCCCTATATATCTCATTGTTGCAGCAGTTTCTCTATTTTTTTCACATTCTGTTTTGGTGCTTCTCTCTACCCCTCCTTCTTCTTATCCTCCTCCTCCTCTCTTCCTTTTCTAAATCCATAAATGCAATAAAAACTTCCCTACCTTTATCTAAATACTGTTCACATATATGCTTCAATGTAAACACTTGATCTACACATCCCCTACCCACTCTGAAACCTCCTTGCTCATCCGCAATCCTACATTCTGTCTTGCCTCTAATTCTTTCAATAATAACCCTACTGTACACTTCCTGGTATACTCAGTAAACTTATTCCTCTATAATTTTTACAATATCTTTTGTCCCCCTTCCCTTTATATAAAGGGACTATACATGCTCTCCACCAATCCCTAGGTACCTTCCCCTCTTTCATACATTTATTAACCCTTTGAGGGTTTCGGCTGTACTAGTAAGGCCTACGACCCAGGATTTTTGACTTACTAGTACGCCTAAATTAGTGCCCTCAAATCTAATGGGAGAAAGCTGGTAGGCATACATATGAAATAATGGGTCTATGTGGTCAGTGTGCGCAGTATAAAAATAGTCCTGCAGCACACAGTGCATAATGAGAAAAAAACTTTGACCGTGTTTTTGGAAGAAAACAGCGACTTTGCACTGTATTTTCGTATGGTATTTATTGTTGTATTCTAGTTTTCTTGGTCTCATTTTATAGAATGGAAGACATACTACAGAAATTGAGATGATTTTGACTGGTTTTACAATGAAAAGTACCTTGAAATTGAGCTCAAATTAGCAGAAATGTTCGATTTTTACCAAAGTTCAAAAGTAAACAAATCATGCCAAGCGTCCAATACACATCAACTGGTGAGTCTAATATTCTTTCACAAGTGTGCCAATATTATTTATACCATTTTTTACATTAATGCAATAGTCTGCATAACAGTAAATCTTCTATTTTTTGTAAGAATAAAAATTCAAAGTGGAAGGCAAAAGAATGTAAGAGGGGCCTTGAGACGTGACTAATGACCAGAGGGAATGTAATTTTAGTACCAGGAATGTCTTTCTTGTTTATTCTGGACCCTATTCGGAAATTGGCATCTTTTGAAATTTGTGTGAAATTGGCAAAATTGCTAAATTCTGACCACTGTACTGGATAGTTGAAATTGGTAAATGGGTAGTTTCTTACGCTCATTCGATAGAAAAAATGGAGTTCTAGCGAAATATTCATGTTTTTTGTCGACTAGTACAGTGGAATTGGCCGAAAATAGGGCTCAAAGTGGGCAAAATCGCATATGCGTAAACATCGCCGAGACCACTAACTTCGCAAGAGCATAATTCTGTAAGTTTTCCATCAAATTTCATACTTTTGGTGTCATTATGATCGGGAAAAGATTCTCTATCTTTTCGTAAGATTTTTTTTTTTTTTTTTTTTTTTTTTTTTTTGAAATTTGGCCGACCCTGAGAACGAGTCTCGGAGAGGGCCTCTCGACCCTCAAAGGGTTAAATAAAAGTACCAGCCACTCCAACACTATATCCCCCTCTATAATTTTTACAGTCTCTCTTGTCCCCTTTCCCTTTATGTAAAGGGACTATACATGCTCTCTGCCAATCCCTAGGTACCTTCCCCTCTTTCATACATTTATTAAACAAAAGTACCAACCACTCCAACACTATATCCCCCCCTGCTTTTAAGATTTCTGTCATGATCCCATCAGTTCCAGCTGCTTTACCCCCTTTCATTCTACGTAATGCCTCACGTACCTCCCCCACATTTACCTTCTGCTCTTCACTCCTAAGAAATGGTATACCTCCCTGGCCAGTGCATGAAATTACTGCCTCCCTTTCTTCCTCAACATTTAAAAGTTCCTCAAAATATTCTCGCTGTCTACCTAATACCTCCCTCTCCCCATCTACTAACTCCCCTACTCTGTTTTTAACTGACAAATCCATACATTCCCTAGGCTTTCTTAACTTGTTTAACTCCAAAAATTTTCCTTATTTTCATTAAAATTTCTTGAAATGCAGTATTAGAATGTGGGGCAGAAGTTTGTGGTTATAGGAGGGTGGGGGCAGGAGGAAAGAGGAGTGATTGGTGGAATGATGAAGTAAAGGGTGTGATAAAAGAGAAAAAGTTAGCTTATGAGAGGTTTTTACAAAGCAGAAGTGTTATAAGAAGAGCAGAGTATATGGAGAGTAAAAGAAAAGATATCTGAAAATTTTTTTTTTCTCTAGGTATGATACCAAAAAATACAAAAGGTTAGCTGTTCCCATCATGCATCTCATTGAGCATAACTTATATATATAATTATATATATATATATATATATATATATATATATATATATATATATATATATATATATATATATATATACACACACACACACACACACGCACACATACATGTACTGCACTCATTGTATATTTGAGGATACTATGAATTATGTCTAGATCTAAATCAGTGACATAGTTCTATGGGACTGATTTCGAAAACCTTAAATTAGCATTCTACTTTATTTTGGGAGCACCTCCCCTGCTTAATAAGCTTAATATATTTTGCATCAGCTAAATCCTGAAAAAACTGGTGTGTCTACCCTTCAGTAATTTGTAGTTTATTAATGGGTTGATTCAACTTTTAAAACCCTTTGAGGGTCCAGAGGCCAAATCTCAGAGTGACAGCCAAGGTCCAAGAATTTTTAAAAAATTTGTTATTTTTTTCACATGAAATGGTAGAGAATCTTTTTTTAAAGGCAATAAATCAAAAAAGTACGATATTTGGAGGAAAATTGACGAAATTACGCTCTCGCAAATTTTGATGCGTCAGCGATATTTATACGTTGGTGATTTTGCCGACGTTGACTCCCATTTTAGGCCAGTTACATTTTTCCAGTTGACCAGATTCTTAGCTATTTCACTAGTATTCCTTCTATTTTATCAAGTGAGCACAAGAAATCGCCTAGTCAACTGTTTCAACTACCCAGTGGTGGTTTCTTGCACTCATTCGATAGAAAAAATGGAGTTCTAGCGAAATATTCATGTTTTTTGTCGACTAGTATAGTGGAATTGGCCGAAAATGGGGCTCAAAGTGGGCAAAATCGCTGATGCGTAAACATCGCCGAGACCGCTAACTTCGCGAGAGCATAATTCTGTAAGTTTTCCATCAACTTTCAAACTTTTGGTGTCATTATGATCGGGAAAAGATTCCCTATCTTTTCATAAGAGATTTTTTTTTTTTTTTTAAATTTGGCCGACCCTGAGAACGAGTCTCGGAGAGGGCCTGTCGACCCTCAAAGGGTTAAAACAATGACTTTGCGGTGTATTTTTGGATGGTTTTTATGATTGTATTCTCAATTTCTTGGTCTCATTTGATAAAATGTAAAAAAAATTACAAAAAAAGAAATGATTTTGATTGGTTTCAGGACTGAAAATAGCTTGAAATTGAGCTAAAATTAGTGAAAATGTGTGATATTTGCCGATATTCAAGAGTAAACAAATCATATCACTTGTCCAATACACGTCCAACTGGTGGATCTAATATGCATTCACGAATGTGTTGATATTATTTATACAATTATTACAATATTGCATTACAGTAAATCTTCTAGTTTTTTGTGTGAATAAAAATTCAAAGTGGAATTCATGTGTAAAGCCTGGAAATGTAACGAACAGAGGAAATTTTATTTTAGTACCATGAATGCCTGTATTGTTTATTCTGGATCTTAATTTGAAATTGGAATATTTTGAAATTTGTGTGAAATTGGCTAAATTACCAATTTCTGATTACTTTATTGTGTAGTTGAAAGAGTTGATTGGGCAGTTTCTTGTACTCGGTCAATAAAATGGAAGACATGTTAGCGAAATAGCTAAGAATTTGACCGACTGGATCAGTATACTATAATAGGACTGAAAGTGGGCAAAACTGCCAATGTGTAAATATCGCTGACACAGCGAAATTTGCGAGAGCATAATTTCATCAATTTCCCATCAAATTTCAAACTTTTAGTTCCATTAGGTTTAGGAAAAAGTCTCTAGCATTTCATGAGTTTTTAATTTTTTTTTTTTATAGTTTTGGACAGTAAGAGCAATTGTCAGATCAGGGGGTCTGAACAATGAAGGGGTAAATAATTAGGGTTCATTTAGTATTAGTGCATTCTTGAATTTAGCTTAACCCTTTCACTGTTGCAATCCCCAAAATAAAAAATGTTGACATTGTCATGATTTAAAAAAAAATGATCTGGAATGGTAGAGAATCTTTTTCTGAAAGCAGTGACACTAACAACTAAAATTTTTATGGAAAACTTATGGAATTACGCTAGCCCAAAGTTGGCAGTCTGGGCACAATTTATGCATTGGTGATTTCACCAACTTTGAGTCCTGTTTTAAATAAATTTCAATGATAATTTTCTAGCTATTTTGCGAGTTTGCCTTCTATTTTATTGACTGAGCATGAAATTGCCCATTCAACAATCAACTACCCTGTAATGTACACTGAAATTGGTAATTTGGCCAGTTTTTCACAGATTTAAAAAAACATTCCAATATAAAAATAGAGTCCAAAATAAACCCAGTACACATTCCAGCCACTAAAGCAACATTTCTTCTGTTCATGAATAATGTCCCCATGCCTCTCCTGTTTAACACTTGACCTATATTTTGACTCCAGCATATCACAAGAAATCCAAGTTTTACTCAATTTCTTGGATGAAATATTATCAAGAATGATTAGTCATGGTTTAGGCCATCACATTAATTGAAGCAGACCTAATAAAAACCCATAAAAAAAAAATTTACCAAAAATCATATATTTCTGCCAAATTGAGCTCTATTTCAGGCTACTTCTGGTCTGAAACAGACCATAATCACTATTCTGTCAACTGATACAAAAAAATCCATAAACCCATAAAAACCAACACTGCATATGGCAGGATTTTTTAAAATCACCACATAGACCCATTCTCTCATGTTTAGGCCAAAATTTACCCCTCACGGCTTATTTGAGAGAGCTGAGCTCAAAATGATACTGGCATCAATGACTTAGATCTATGTAGGAGACATTGAAAGAGTTAATGACATTATGTAATTTACATGAGCAAAATAACAAAGTAAGTCGACTACTTTTTTTTTTATGGAAACACTATAGCTACCTAGTGGAATGCAAGATAAAGAAGCAGCAAAGTATGTATGTATCTAGAAAAAGTAGTCATCAAAGATTCTTGGCCTAGCATGAGGTTGAGAGATGGAAGGCATTTTTTTTTTTTTTTTAACACATTGGCCATTGTCCCATTGAGGCAGGGTGACCCAAAAAGAAGAATCGCTTTCATCATCACTCATTCCTTCACTGTATTGTCAGAGGTGTGCTGAAAATAATAATTTGTTACTCTTGAAAAGCCATATACAGTGGCTTTTTTTAAATTGTTAAGTGTGAACTATCCATACATTATATTAATATGTTGTGTTTGTGTGTTTTTCTTTATCTTAGGAAACGCCACCCTTAGATGTGGGTAGTGTGAGTCAGACATTGAAGGACAAGAAAATTGAGCCTTCTGGCCTGAAGTTTGGATTTTTAGGCTTGGGTATTATTGGGTCTGGAATTGTCAAGAATCTTCTTAACAGTGGACACAGTGTAATGGTGTGGAACAGGTCTTCAGAGAAGGTAAGTACAACAGCAGTATATTAGTGTTCTTGGATGTTAAGATTGTGTGAAGTCTTGAATTGGAAATTAAGACCATTATTGTATCCCTTTTTTTTTCATTTCTAAAAAGTTGTGGATTATTAGATATCCCCAACGTTACCTGAATTCTTTTCCTTCTTCCATCAAGGTTTTCTTTTGTCGTATTTTATATTTGTGAAATAGGGAGACTTTAACATCACTTACCTGTATATTAGAATCCATATTTTTTTTTTGCATTAGTTAGGGTATAAAATAGAAATAATGGTTAGAAATAAGTAGTCTTGAAGGGCTAGATGGAACATTAGTGTGGGAATGGTTTCCCCTGTATTTGCCAAAATGCAACACTTCCTTGAGGCTTCTATTTGTAGAAAGAGTATAATTTTCATGAAAAATCGTGGACCTCATGATGTTATTTCTTGGGCATGGTGTTAATGCAATTTCTGTAGCAAATTATTTTTAATCTAACCTATTGTGAACATTAATTACAGAAAATTGCCTCCTCCATGTCAGTTTTTGAAACAGTGGGTGGGGTTGATGTTGGGGTTATTTTTCTCACCCTACATTATATGCAAATGAAACCCCCTTTCATTTTTCTTATCACAACCTTCCTCATTCTCCTCACCACATTTCCTCTCACTCTTACCCCATAGTTCTTTCCCTCACCCCTCCAGCACACTTTTCTTCATGAGCTCCCAGACTCTCTTCTTTCACACTTCCCCAAATTCCCTTCTCTCATAGGCCCCCCAACTTCCTTCAGATGTCCCCAAACTTCCTTCCCTCAGAGCCCCCTCCCTCCTCTCTCTCTCTCTTTTTCCCCTCCCTCCCCACACACACAGGGATTGACAAGGTTAAGGATCCCTAGCTTTATTGACAAGCTATTTACAGGTTAAGGATTCCTAACTTTATTGGCAAGCTAAGAGCTGTTACCTACATCAGCTCATTTGAAAGCATTTTTATTGTTATGAGACATACAAGTAGGGAACAGGATGAAGTTGGAGCCATCTGTGGGCCAGCATTTTCATATGATCAACTGACTTTATCTCGTTGACATCATTATGCTGTACGAATGTGTTCCATACTCGAGTCATCCTGGGTATATATGATCTCAGATGGAGTGATGTTCTGGAGAAGGGTACAGCCAGAGTGAAGTTGCTGCTTTCTGCCCGTCTCTCTCTCTCTCTCCCTCCCTCTCTCTCTCTCTCTCTCTCCTCCCTCCCTTTTTTTTTTTTTTTTTTTTTTTTTTTTTTACACAGGGTTTGACAAGGTTAAGGATTCCTAATTTTATTGGCAAGCTAAGAGCTGTTACCTACATCAGCTCATTTGAAAGCATTTTTATTGTTATGAGACTACAAGTACGGGACAGATGAAGTTGGAGCCATCTGTGGCCAGCATTTTCATTTGATCAACTGACTTTATCTCGTTGACATCATTATGCTGTACGAATGTGTTCCATACTCGAGTCATCCTGGTATGTATGATCTCAAGGGAGTGAGTTCGGGAGGTACAGCCAGAGTGAAGTTGCTGCTTTCGCCGTCTTGTGATCACTGCCTTCTCTCTCTCTCCCTCCTTCTCCCCACTCCCTCCCTCCTCTCCCTCCTCCTCACCTCTCCTCCCTCCCTCTCCTCTCCTCCTCCCCTCTCTCTCCCTCCCTCCCTCCCTCCCTCCCTCCTCTCCCTCCTCCCTCTCTCCCTCCCTCTCCCTCTCCCTCCCTCCCCTCCCTCCTCTCTCCCTCCCTCCCTCTCTCCCTCTCTCCCTCCCCCTCCTCTCCTCCCTCCTCCTCCCCTCTCCCTCCCTCCTCTCCCTCTCCCTCTCCCTCTCCTCCTCCCTCTCTCCCTCTCCCTCTCCCTCTCCTCCTCCTCCCCTCTCTCCTCCTCTCCCTCTCTCTCTCCTCTCTCCTCTCTCTCTCTCTCCTCTCTCTCTCTCCTCCTCTCTCTCCTCTCTCTCTCTCTCTCTCTCTCTCTCTCTCTCTCTCTCTCTCTCCTCTCTCCCTCATCTCTCTCTCCCTCCATCTCTCTCTCCCTCCCTCCATCTCTCTCTCCCTCTCTCCCCCCCACCTCTCCCTCCCCCCCTCTCTCTCTCTCTCTCTCTCTCCCCCCTCTCTCTCTCCCCCCCCTCTCTCTCTCCCCCTCTTTTTTTTTTTTTACATACAAGCTCCCTTCTGTCACACACCCTGAAACTTCCCTCATATGCCCCCAAACTTCATTCCCTTACACCTCCCCCAAACTACATTCCCTTAAACCCCCTCAAATATGCCCCCCTCCCCTGAACTTTGATAGTCCGCTTGAACCCTAAAAGCTAAAACCAGAGAGGTAGACACAGAATAAGCAATAAAGCTCAAGAAATGGAAGGATCCTTGAAGGGTACACAAGTGCAGATGTTGGCAGCAACAGCCAGGTTAATCAGGCAGTCAACAGGAAAGTTTGGCTCTGGGGCAACTGCACGAGTGGAAATCTCAAAACTGGTCACAGGTACATATGTTGCGTATCATACCATTTAAGCTTTGTGATAGTTACAGAAATCATACAGGAGTGGCATGACTTGGAGGGGTAATGGAAGATGATGATTATCATTCTCAGTAATTGTAAGTATCGTATATTTCGGTGAACAAGATGCTCCGGTGTCAAGGACGTACGTCCCTTAATTCTGACTGGCTAATTTTTGGAGGCATTACATGTATAAAAACGTGTTGATGGTTTGTTCTGTGGTTGTTTACCGCTGACGCAGCTGACTCGTCGTGTTCTCTTTCTGCTCACTGTCTTGATGCATGCAAGCGGATGTGTCTATGGCGAGGACTCCATATTGATTCGTGATGGTTTTTCATGTGTTTTAAAAATATTTCATATTTATGTTTTTAAATGTATTGATTTTACTATTAATAAGAGTACATTTGTACTGCAGCTTTTTGAATACCACAAACATGACAAGCTAACCACCACAAGAAGTGTTTAAAACTGCTGAATAATGTAACATTTTATTGCACGTATTTTTACCCATTTTACAAATACCACAAACATGATAAAAACATTACAGCCGGTGGTATAGGAGTGCCTTTTAGCAGATGCCATAATCTGGACAGTGTTAAAAAAAATTAAGTTGGCTGAAAAGTAGAGCACCCATACTAATGGCAGGGCTGTTTTAAAATGATGAAAATCACCCGCCACCATAGCATGTTAATGCTGCTGAGTGAACATAAAATGTTTCGTGAGGATCGTTTGAGGTGAGTAAAAATATTACCGGGCGGTTTGAAGGTAAACAGGCGAATTAGCCTACTGGTGCTAATTGCCAATGAATTTTTACATTTATGAATATTTTTATTATTTATTGTTTTATACAAAATAATTTACTTGATTCATTATTGGGTCATATACGGGTGCTGAGATTACTGCCTAATATTGAAACACTTCTCTAGGCTTAAGTTGAGGCCTACAAGCGACATAACCTTTCACCTCCAAGATGCTGGGTAAATTTTTGAGACTTGTTTTGGGGAAAAAAATAGTGCCTTCGATGCCATAAAATATGGTAAATCATCTTATTTTGCATACAAAATATACACGGTCAATAAGACCTGTTTACATTCTGAACCAAGTAATTATCTTAAGGCAAGACAGCAGTGAATGCGTTTCCTTGTTTTTGGGTCACTCTACCTCGGCAGATGACCGGTGTGTTAAATTTAAATACAAGTGTGAAACTCAAATTGAGGCTACCCAGAGCATCAAGTGGGGTCATAGAATACATGCAGGGAGTTGGGTGTAGGTCCACCAGTTTTTATTTCTCCAGAATGACAATAAATATGAAACCCTTGAATTTTTTTTTTTCCTTAACCCCTTCAGGGTCCCTCCCGTAGATCTACGGCTTTGAAGCCAGGGTCCAGACCGTAGATCTACGCCATGAACCCAGCTCACTCAGATAACCTGCCAGCAGTAAATTTTGGGCCTAGATATGAGGGAACACATCTATGTGGTAAGTGTGCACCACATAAAACAAATCCTGCAGCATGCAGTGCATAATGAGAGAAAAAAAACTGCGACCGTAATTTTGGATTAAAACAGCGACTTTGCAGTGTTTTTTCTTGGTCTCTTTTGAGAAAATGGAATATATATAACAGAAATAGAGATGATTTTGATTGGTTCTAGTACTGAAAATGGCTTGAAACTGAGCTCAAAGTAGCAGAAATGTTAAATTTTTGCCGATGTTCAAGAGTAAACAAATGACGCCACGAGTATAATACACGTCAGTTGGTGGGTCTAATATACATTCATGAATGTGGTGATATTATTTATACAATTATTACAACATTGCATAACAGTAAATGTTCTATTTTTTTGGTGTGAATAAAAATTCATCACATGAATGCAGTTCATTCGTCAAGCCTGAAAACGTAACTAATGAACAGAGGAAATGTTAGTTTAGTGCCAGGAATACCTGCATTATTTATTCTGGATCCTATTTTGAAATTGGAATATTTTGAACTTTGTGTTAAATTGGCCAAATTACCAATTTCTGATCACTTTATTGGGTAGTTGAAACAGTTGACTGGGCAATTTCTTGTGCTCAGTTGATGAAATAGAAGTAATACTAGCAAAATAGCTAAGAATTTGGTCGGCTGGAATAATGTAATTGGCCTTAAATTGGAGTCAAAGTCGGCAAAATCGCCGATGCATAAATGTAACTGACGCATCAAAATTCGCAAGAGCGTTTTTTTTTTTTTTTTAATTCTTGGATCCTGACTGTCACTGTGAGATTTGGACTCTGGACCCTTCATTGTCAGAAGCCTGAAATTAAAAGTGCTGGTGGCAATGTTGGGAATTAAAAAAAGAAAGAAAGAAAAAAAATTCTTGAAATGGTAAGAGAATCTTTTTTCTGTAGGTAATGAAACCAAACACACACAATTTGATGGAAAACTTAGTGAACCATGTATTGAGGCACAAAGTTGGCAGTCTATGCGTAGTTTACTCATCGGTGATTTTGCCCACTTTGAATCC